CAGTGACCAAAAAAGAAAATGGAAAATCAACGGACTGACGAGACGCGCGATTACGGACCACGGAAATAATAATTACGTACTCGGAAATAGTAATTCCATCGAGGTTCAACTTCACCTCGGAATAATACAGCACTCTCGGAACGGTAATTTCACCGAGGTTAGATCGATCGATTCGAAAATCCCGCCAGTTGGCGCGGAGAGAGCAGTTAAAACTGGCGTTCCAATAGACGTCGTTTCTCCAGTGAAGTTGGTTCAGTATTCTCTCGACCAATGTGTTGTTCCGTGGCGCGTGATCGATGCTCAATTTCGTACGAATTGAACATCTCTCGTGTGTCGTCTCGGGGGGGGTTCGCGTACAGCGACGATGACTCCCTTTCGGTTTCGATCGAAAGTGACACAGGACTCGTCAACCTGAGTCGATTTATCTCATGGCATTAGTATAGAAAGAGATATATATATATATAGAGAGAGAGAGAGAAAAACAGAGCGTGATGACAAGTCGTTTTCCCTTCCCGTAACGGAAACGTGGTGTGTGTTTCTCATCGCGGCGAAGGGAGAGCGACGCGATCGCGCGCGTTTTAGGTTAGGTTTGACAAAGATGGCGAGCAAAACGAAGGAAGGGAATAATCGCAGCGCCGATGATGTATGATATTCGTGAAGGACGAACGAAAGGTACGCAGTTCGGGGAAGACAAAGAGACGAAACGTGGGAGGGAAAAGAAAGCCCTTCTGTCTCTCTTGCCTTTTTCTTTTTCGCTGCGTCTCGAGGAACGGCGCCGGATGGATTAAAACGGAAGGAGAGAGTAAGGGGAGGAAACGATTCAAAAAAAAAAAAAAAAAAAAAAAAACAAGAACCCGATGAAGGAACACGACGAAACTTCGGGAGGAAGTGAGAAAGTCGACCGAATGAGAAGAGAGGAAAGAAAAAAAGACAGACGGATAGTCGCGAGTACTGCGAGAGGGAGGAAGAGAAGAAAGCACAGCGAAGAAGACAAGAAAGTGGTGCGACGGGAGGAAATAACGATGTGAGAGAAAGAGAAAATGAATCTAAGAGTAATAAGTTTATTTTTGATACACTGTTGGCGAGGATCTAAGTGGATTTTTCTTTTTCCAGTCTTTTTGTTACGTGTTTTTTAATAACAATTAATGAATTTTAACGACGATAGATGAAGGTGAAAATGAAAAGGAAAAGAGAAAGAGAAAAAAAAAGAGAATGCGAAGCAGTGAGGAGAGATGGTAAAGACATTTTTTTAAACTAGAGATATAAGAGGAGATATTATGAAGAAGAGAAGAAAGGTGGTATGAAAAAAAAAAAAAAAAAGAAAAAGGAAGGGAAGAAGAAGCGAAGCGGAGTATTTTTTTTTTTTTTTTTTTTCTTCGTGAAAAAGAGTATGCGACTCGAAGAGAGCGAGTGAGAGGATTAAAGAGAAAAAAAGAAAAAAAAAA